CCGTCGATTTCGTTTCTGCTATTGAGTTCCAATCTGAAGAATTCATCTTCGTAAGATAACACATCGAGGTGCGGTGGTGAACGCTGCGAAGGCGCGTGGGCCAACAGACGTAGCATCTGGAGGAAATGCGAGCCGATACTCGAGTCTTCTACAGCCAGATCTGGTGAAAGTGGCGGTGGTGGTGGTGCCGCCGCCGATGAAGAATAACCACCGGCGGGAATCGGTTGGATTGACTCGACGAAACCTTTGTTACATTCACAACACACGACGAAGTCCTCTAGGGTTTCAACGGCGACGCGTTTGTTGCAGTGGTAACACCAGTGCGACGGTTCTACATCATCCGGTGAAGACGACGGAGCGTCCGACATCGTTGTCCCGTCGGGTTATCGGGCTTTCGGGTCCTGATTCGGATCCGATAAGCCGATAATGGATTGGAGAAAGAAAAGAAAAGAAATAAAAAAGTCTCTGAATTTTCTGTTTCAATGACATATAGCACTCATTACCCACCCACNCACAATATTTTAATATATCTCATTACTCACAATTAATCAGAATTATTTAATCTAACTTCAATCTTCATTTTAATGTAAAAAAAAAAACTGAATTTAAATGTACTCTGTATAATCAAATACTGAAACACATGAAATGTATATAACCTCCCAAACTCAGATCCAAATCCAAATTGTTACAAATATATAATGATACAAAGATGGATTCGTCTCAAACATGAGAGCCCCAACCACCAAGATAAGCATACATAAGAACACTGAAATGGTCTCTCCATTCACCAAATGAAGCAAATGGCAAAAGACCATTAATCACAGGAAGTACCAACATGATCAACACAAAGAAGAAACTACGCCGAACCCAATACGGAACCATACTGCTACAATGGCTCGGTTTGGTCTCTTGAGTCACGGTTATTGGACCGTAGATCAAACCATACAAAGACAATGTGAAGACGTTTGCAACGAATTGCAAAAGGCAGAACATTTCCCAGAGAAACAGCCAGAGTTTACCGTTACCGCCCAATGTGTCTACGCAAAACTTACCAGGTAAACCGCAAACAATACCGAGGAAAAGAACGATGAAAGTTACCGGCATTGTCTGCTTTGTACCTGATGAGCGTTGGATTATGAAGTAAGTGAAGACGAGGATCATTAAGACACCGAAGAAACTCTGAACCCATACTCGAAGCCGGCAAACCAAGGTGTAAATCTCTGTGTTTATGGATGAAACTTGTTTAGGAACCCACCATGACGAGCTTTTTTCCTCGGATGGCTCACATACTGAGGTAGCTTCCGTGATTCTCTGATGTGAGAAGATGTAAGCTCCGTATAACATAGAAGCCAACATGTTGAAGACACTTACGACAAGCCAGTCCATGACTTTTGTTACCATATCGGCTTTTCTTGTATCTTCTAACTCGGTTTTGAATTTCTCGGCTCTGAATGCAGCTTTCGAAACACCCATCTCTAGCTTCGATTTCCCCAGATTGTTGGATTCGTAGCTTAGTGCTAGCTCTGTCTCTTTCAACCTTAGTTTCCTCATTGTAAGACCAATCTCCATGCTCTTTAGATCGTTTGCTCGTGCTTGCTCTTCTAAAGACCTTTCGAATGTGGTCAAAGACATTGCTGAGCTTCTAGAGACACCAGAGAGTTGTCGAGTCTCTTCGTGCAGGACAATCTCATTCATCGAAGAGGATGGTCTTGCACTGCCTTGAATCGCTTCATAAGCAGGCGTAGCAGATGAAGTTTCCTTTGCAGATAGCTCGGTGTCCGAGCATCCGTCTATTGTAGAACGGTCTAAATTAAAACCCCCAACATTATTGTTCTCTAACCGATGCGGAAATGAAGATTCGTTGATCAATTTAAGGATCTTTAGAGTGCTGTTAAACGATTTCTCAAAGTTTGCCGCAAAGGACCCAAGCCTATTACCATAAACCTGTAATCATATCATTATAATTAAGAAAGTCTAAAACTGAAAACTGCAATAAATTCAGGGTTTCTTTTTACTTACATTGGATAGAGACTCTGTGACAGCGGAAGCAGAAATCTGCAGAGCATAACCAGTGAAACTTGTGTTATTCACTACCAAAAGACAATCTATGACGAAAGAGAGACTGAACAGGAACCGAGAAGAAATCATTTTGAAGTTTGATAGTACTTACCATTGCAAGATCATCAACATAAACATTTTGACCCGCGGCACTCTTTCTCT